GTTATACACAAAAACCAACCAGTTTGGGTGTATTGTCAATGATTTGTGATGCCCCCAAACCACCAATTATTAATTGTGAATTAATAATTGTGTGCTAATCATTGTGCTAATAACTGATTTGTTATATCCCAAACCCACCATTTTGGGTGTACTGATGACTAATTTAATACACCCCAAATAATGGGGAGAATCCCCCAAAATCCTCTGGGGAGTGGGTGCCAACTCTCGGTAGGAGACCTGGCTGACCAAAACAACCTCAATTTTGGGTGAGATTTCCATTTTTGACCTTTTATTCTGCAAAATAACCTTTCAGCACCACAAGCGGCGGCGACAGAGCAACGCTCGGCTGGGGCACCAAACCCCTAAAATAATGAGGGCAACCCCCCAGAAGTTTGCCAGGAGCAGGTGCCAACTCTGAGCAGGAGCCACRGGTGGGAATTCTGAGGTGGAATTTCCGTTTTTGACCTTTTATTCTGTAAAACCACCTTTGGGCCCCGCCAGCGAGCGGCGCTCGGCCCGGGGGCACCGAAATGGCACCGAACCCACCCCAAACACCTAAAAGAGGGGGAGAACTCCCCCAAAGTGCTTTGAGGGGGCAGGTGCTAACTCCAGGTGGGGTCGTAGCCCGTCCAGTCCTGGGGGGGTGCCAGGTAAACGCGGCGGCCCCGGTACACGAAGCTGACGATGCCGCGGTAGCCGGCGCGGGGGACGCCGGATTTGAGGTCGTCCATGAGCCCCAAAGCCTTGGCAAAGGCTTTGAAGGCGTCTCGGCCGCTGTACTGGAGCCTGACGGCCCCCAAATCCCTCCTCCTGTTGCCCTGGAGCTCCTCCACCCTCACCTCGGGCGCCGAGTAGACCCTGGGCAGGAAGGAGTGCTCATACTCGTCCTTCTTGAGGTAAGAGAGGTCCAGGCGGGTGAAAGGCACGAAGTGGTCGTTGAGTTTGATGAACTTCAGGTACTGGTCGAAGAACTGGCCGTGGCTCACGCCCTTCCTGCCGAAGGTCATGGTGCGGGACACCTCGGGCCGGACGCACGAGCGGCCCCGGCGCTGCTCCGGCTGCCTCATCCAGTCGTCCCAAAACGC